TCCAGCCCTCACCTCTGCAGGCAGGTCATGTGCTGTCGAAAGTCACTGTCCATCTTCTTTCTAAAGAATCTGGCCTCGCCTGTTCTCTCTTCCTCCCCCTCCTCCTCCTCCTCCTCCTCCTCGTCCCTCTGAGCACCTGGTGAGCAGGCTGCCTCCGGCAGGGCGGGCGGGGCGGGAGGACGAGGTTTCGGTGGCTTTTCTAGGATTAGGTCACGTCAAGGTGTGTGGCTGAGTCGTCGGGGTGGACCTGGGCGAGGACAAGCCGAGGTTTCGTTCTGGGCGCCCCTTCCTGGCAGTGACCACGCAGGGAAATAAGACTCGGACCCGCTGGAGGCTGACGGCCTCGCCCAGTAGGAGAGTTCCCTTGTCATGAGAAAAGGACAACAGTGTTGCTGTTGTGTCTTCCTCCTTTTTTAATGAAAACCCCGTGTTTTCCCCCCGGAGAGCTCAGGACGCCTGCGTTGGAGGAGGCCATGTCCCAGGGGCCTCGCGCACATGTCCGCCCACCTTCGTTACCGTGGAAACTGCCCAGCACCCCGGAGGGGCACAGCCTCCCCTGCAGCCAAGCAGGAGTGTCTGAAGGTTTCATTCACGGTCAGAAGCCTCCTCCTGGGAACTTCTTCCAGGAAGGGGCCCGGCGGGAAGACACGAGGGGACGCTGATGCGTGCTGTCCCTCCAGCCCCTCAGGGAGCAGCTGCGCCAGGCGTCTGGGTAGTTCAGCGGTGGCCTCTGGGCGGAGGGGACCTCCGACCAGCAGTGAGTGGCCGCGGAAGCCCTCAGGCTGTGCCCAAGACGCTGGCGTTTGCGTAGTTCAGCGGTGGCCTCTGGGCGGAGGGGACAGAGGCTCCGCTCCCGCCCCGACCTCCGACCGGCAGTGAGTGGCCGCGGAAGCCCGCAGGCTGTGCCCAAGACGCTGGCGTTTGCTTTTCTGAAAAGTGACTGCTTCTGCGTTCTTAATAGAAAATAACACACATGTACACACATGCACACACATGCATGCACATATACATAGATGCATGCATATAAACATTTATACACACATGCACATACATGCACACATACACATGCATATACCTGTATACAGATGCACGCACACATATACACACATGCATGTGCATACAGTTATGCACACACACACACATGTATACACACACTTTTCACAACACTCCAGCTCCTGAGACTGGTTCCTTGGCCATGGCAGCAGGGCAGCTCTGATGGCCGAGGCGGCCTCCTAACATCTTCCATGAACCAGAGAGCCCTGACCCCCACTCCTTCATTTGTCCCCAGATCCTGCATTTACCACATGTTCTCCGTTCAGGCAGGAGGACGTAGACAGGTTAATCTGGAAGGGACACGTGCTCCATGTGAGCCCCTAATCCCGTCTCTGCAGATCAGCTCTGGCACCGGCTGACCAGGGACTGACCTGCCTGCCTGGCCGGGGGCGTGGCCTGGCCGGGGGCGTGGCCTGGCTGACTTGCTGAGCAGGCCAGGCCTGGCACTCCCAGTGTGAGTGCCCCCCAACCAGACCTGCTCCCCTTGTTTGGACGGATGGAACTGGCGCAGCGTGGTTTTTATAGTGTGGGAGGGGCAGGCTGGAGGAGGGGGTTGCTCAAATGCTGGGGTGCCTTGGAGAACTTGGGGAACAGGCCCTGCGTGCTCAGGGCAGATCACAGCCTGGGCAGCAGCTCACAGAGGAAGCTGGGCCCCCGGTGCTGGGGGTGGGGCGGGTAGAGGAGGGAGACACCGGCTGCTCCTCCGCCCACCCACGTGCTCCCTGGAGCCCAGATTCCCGCAGAGCCGATGGGAGGCCCAGGTCTCCGGGCGGAGGAGGCGGGGGCGGAGGAGAGCCGAGTGGGGGTCCATGGAGGTCGCTCCGTCACAGCCCTGCCCCCTCGGCCTGAGTGTCACGAGACCACCAGGCACCGCGACTCTGCCCACAGCTCTCAGACCTGCCGGCTCGTCTGTCCGCCCCGGCCGATGTGGGAGGTCCGCCCGCCAGCCAAGTCCTCGGCCGGCCCCACCCTCCCGGCTGCTACAGGGTTCAGTCCCCAGGCAGCGCTGTGCGATTGGGGAAGATTCAGATCATGTCAAACTTTCTTTTTTTAAATCGAGAGCAAATCCCAATCTTCACTCTAATACGAGCCAAACATGTGTCTCCAGTGATCCCTGAGGGGCCCACTGGATGAGGGAGGAAGAGGGGTTGAGGGACGCGGGCCAGCTCCCTCCTCGGAGGTCAGCAGGGTCAGGCGTCCGGGCCGGCAGCTCCTGGGCCTCAGGCCTCGGTGACCGGTCCCACAGG